CCAAAAAGACATCTTCCTATTGCACAAATGAGTAATATGGTACATGAATTTCAATGTTGTTGTGATGCTAGGTACATAGATTCTAAATCCCAAAGACTTGCCGATTGTACCAAACAGCATATTCCTACAGCTGGGATTTTTAAAAAGTAGAAGCCTTGAACAGATATTTTGTATCTATTGTCTTTGTCTGTTGTCAATGCATAAGACAAAAAATTACCAAGATTAATTTTCACGATGAAAAGCTGTTACTAGCAGAGTGCCATGGGGATCAGTGCTGGGGCCTTAACTGTTTAGAATCTATATCAATCACTTCAAAGATGGGACCAAAAGTATGGTTTCCAAATTTGGTGATGATAAGAGAGTAGGGCAGTCAGTTGTAAAGAGGACAAAAAGTCTAAAAAAAGAGATTTAGATAGCTTTAGTGAGTAGAAAACAAATGGCAGATGGAATATGACGCGGAAAAATGTGAACTTGTCCATTTTGAGAGGAAGCAGCATTTTATTTGAATGGAGGGAGATTGCAGAATTCGAAGGTGCAGAGGAATCTGCTTGTCCAGGTACATCAATCGCAAAGTTAATGTGCAGGTGCAGCAAAGTGATTAAGAAGGCAAACTGATTAACAGTGCAAATTGCAACAGAAATGGAAGCATTCAAATGTCAAGAAATTTTGCTGCAGCTTATTACAGGACCTTAATTAGATCACTGTGTATGATTTTGGTCTCTTTACTCGAGGAAGGGTTAACTGCAATAAAAGTTCAGAGAAGGTTCACTCAACTGATTCCTGGTATGAAGGAGTTGTCTTACAAGATAAGATTGAGCAGGTTTGGCCTGAATCCATACTTAGAATGAGACAATATCTTATTTATACATACAAAGTTCTGTGAATACTTCACAGGGTGGATACCACTTCTGTAGAACTTTACAACTAGGGAATGCATTTTAAAACAGAGATAAGTAGCATTTTTTCTCTCTCTCTCTGATTCAGTGATCTGTAGAATTCTCTGCCATAGACAGTTGTGGAAGCTGTGTCTTTGAACATAGTCAAGGGAGAGTTTGAATGATTTTTGATTGGGACGGGAGGCAAATAGGGAAGCGCAGTTGAGGCCCCAATCACATCAGCCATCGAAACGTAGGACAGGCTTCAGGAGAATGCAGTAGAATTCCCAGTTCTTCTGTTCTAGGGTCACATTTTGTTTTAGTGGTCCTGTCAATGGCTTACATTAAAAATGCTACATAATCATATGTTATTACTATTGCTGGTTTTAAAGAAGATTTTAAAAACAGGAGAAACAAAGGGGTTTAGAGAGGATTCCAAGGAATAGCCTTGACATCTGAAAGTAGAGCTGCCAATAACAGGGAAAACCAAACTGCTGGTGCACAGAAACTGGAACCAAAAGAAATTAGAATTCAGTGGGGAAGAAGCTTGTGCAACTGCAAGTAATATAGAAATACCTGAGAAACATTAATGATAAGGCAATGCCAACTTTTACAAACCTAGTTCAGTCAAACCAGCTGAGTAAATGGAACAGAACATTATTAGGCTTAAGTTTTAATTAAACGATCCTGATCAACAGAATTTGTTAAATTACTGAGAGAAAATTATTGATGCAATATGTACATTAACCTGTGTTTGTACTCTGAAGATACATTAAAAAGTCATTCATACAAAATAAAATAGATATTTTTGTAAATTTTCTATATGACTTCCAAACTGTATCCTAGTCAAATTCTTATTTCAGATTGCTACATGTTGTAATTAACAGGCAAGCTGCACTATTCACATTTGGACAATTGGAAAACTCGGCTCGCTTCTCCGTTAAAATTACAACAGACCGAGAAGGATTGTAATGTTTTCCTGTATTACTATGTCTGACTAAATGATTAATGAAAAACAGCGTACATCATAGATTTAAAAGTGCCATCTATTTAGGTCACCTTGACACAGCTCTCCAGAAGATTTTATCTCAACGTACATTTTAGTATTTCATCCAGATTCGCAGTGTCGTGAACTTCAAGGCAGCTTCAGACACAATCCTCCAGGTGTGGAAGTACGAGATCCTGTCCAGCCTTTCTGGGGGTCTTGTGGCGCAGTGGTAGTGTCCCTACCTCTGACTCAGAAGGTCTGGGTTCAAGTCCCACCAGCTCTAGAAGTGTGTCGTAACGTCTCTGAATAGGTGGATTAAAAATGTCTAGAACTTCCCACGTTCCCCCACCCTTGCTTGAATTACGTTCTGGTGTAGAAGGCCCAACCTCCAGCTCCGTGTAGCCCATTACTGAGAGTCTGACTGTTTATCCAGTCGGTTTGCTTGCCTCTTTCTCATCCTGCCTGGACAGAAGATAACTGCAATCCTGGCAGAATGAGGCTGTCAATTAGTGACCGCTTAAGGGCCTCATCCCACTAGGTTGCAATTACCTCAATTCCAGGCGGGACAGAGATGACCGGATATCCAGCTGAGCAGGCTTTATCCCTAGATCTATATTATCCTGGGCATGACTAAGGGGCAGGACTCAAGGTTGGGGGTGTGGCTTCTGAGTGCAACACTGTAGCCACATTAAGATATTATTGTTACAAGAACAAGTCAGAGGCTGTCCCCATCGACAAGGTATCAGTCAAGATTTTGATGGAATGCTTTCCAATCACCTGGATGGATGCAGCTCCAAAAACACTTAAAATGCCAAACACACTCCAGAACAAAGCAACCTGCTTGTTTGCACCCCATCCACCATCAGCAACATTCACTCTATTCACCACCGATGCACAGTGACAGTATGTACCATCAGCAAGATGTACTGCAGTAGCTCCCCTAGGTTCCTTTCACCCACCACCTAGCAGGACAAAAGCAGCTGTTGCATAGCAAAATCACAACCTGCCAGCTCCCCTTCAAGCGGCATACCAATGCTGATTTGGAACTCCACTGTTGCAGAGTCGAATTTCTGGAACTTTGTTCCTAACAGCACTGTGGTAGTCCCTACACCACAAGGACCACAGCAGTTCATGGTGGCAACTAACTCAGCATCATCTTCTCAAGAGCAACTAGGGATGAGCATTCATTGCTGGCCCAGGCAGTGACACCCACGTCTCATTCATGAGAAAAAAAACAAAATAGAGAGAGGGGGAAAGCGTGAAATAAGAAGCAGACAATGACACCCAAGCTAGAAGAGAACAAAAGGCACAAAGATAGAATTCGAGGGGAAAGAGGTCTATGTGGATACATGATTGCTGGTTTAAAGCAGTTTAGCAATTGATCTAAGCTGGCATTGTAAAATTTGTACAGAAGTAAATCTTAACATCCCTGAAATGGTATGTAAATTGAATGGTATTCCTGGATGAATTCCAAGGCTGTCTCTGAGCCCTATGCATTGCCACAAAGCTCTCCATCAATGTTCTGAATCTTTGACCACTATATTATAGACTAGTTTGCTGGTGACTGGGAATGGAGCTATTCGATTCACTTATTGCTCTGCAATAACCTATAATTAGTTCTTCTCTTGATGTATAATCAATGCTTCACAGTTGAGACAATGACTGAATACCACATGGAGTTCAATAAAATTAACAAATAGAAAAAGATACAGAAAACTTTCCAGGTGTTTCATGCCATGTAAAAAAGTTCACAGTGGAAAACAACTATCTTTACACTCACAATGACAATAGGTTAACTTATCATCACTTGCCTGGGAGGACTGCCTGTGGCTTGTTTCTCCAACAATGTGGTCCCAAGGAACTTCTACTATCCAAAATACTAGTTTCAAAATACTATTTCAATGGAGTTATTTTACATAATATATCCCACTTGGGACTATTACTGGAAATCTGGTTTGAGATGTGATTCAGCCCACAAACAGAAAGAGAACAAAATGCTGTCATGTAGCAATGATAAGTCCTACACTTGGGGTCACTTTTATCTTCACAGCCTGAGCAGTTTCCTGATGGAGCAGACTGGTCACCTTCTTAAAAAAATACCAGTTTTCAAGATATCACAGGGAACCGATCGGGTTAAAATTGGGATAAATTATGTTTGCTAGTTAAGAAGCCTAAGATTAGGGTGTGTAGTTTTGAAATTACAGCTAGAATATTCAAGAATGAAATTAGGGAATATTTCTTCACTTAAAAGGTGGCAAGAATTTGGAACTTTCATCTAAAATGGTTTTAAAACTGAGATTCATTAAATAGGGGATAGGGGACAAAAGCAGATACACAGAGTTAGGTTCTAAATCAGGAATGATCAAAATGAATGGCTGTACAGACTTGAGTAGTGTGGCCTCTTCCTGATCCTATGCATGGAAATTATACCTGCAGGCAAATGGCTAAATGTATTACTTCCCACAGAGCAACAAGGTTTACTGCGTTTGAAAAAAAGACTCTCTACTTCCAGTCAGGCATTAACCTCCCTCACCTGATAGCCATTTATTCTGATGTAAGCAATGGATATGTACAGTGAAAAAAGAAGAACCTAATATTTCATAAGAAAATGCATTGTACGTTTTTGAAAATTTCCATAAATTGTCAAGTTTATTTTCAGCCTCAGATTTTTAAAAAGAAAAGTTGAGCTCGTTTTAAGTGCTCAGCTAAAGAAACAATGATGTGCACTTTCACAACCGCAACGTGTCCCAATTTTCCTCACTTCGTACTGAAAACGATGGCCTGCCTTGGCTTTGTGCTCAACTCTCTGGAGTTGGAACTCGAATAAGCAAACAACCACCTGACCCAGGCAAGTATCTGATCACTGAGCCACGTTAATAGAAAATTCTAACGTGACAATACCAACACAATTTGCTGCTCTAACAATAACCATGCATTTGTCAACTACATCTATTACGTATAGCTGGTTTTCACGTAGCTGATACTAACGCCACTTTTCTTTATGCTGAGCACTTAAAAGCAAGCTAAACTTGTTTTTCTTTTAAAAAACTGAGGCTGAAAGCGAACTTGACAATTTGTGGATACACAACTTTGACATACGTAAGGTCTGAAAATGTAAAAATAAAAGGATCTTGTACCTGTACAAGCTCCTCTTCTGCATATTTCAGCCGGCTGAGTTCAGTCTCTGAACCCTCGCGTAATTCTCTCAGACGCTGTGCCTCCCTTTTGGCATCATTTATTTCAGTTTTCATCTTTTGTTCTAAATTTTGCTTTTCCACTTCAACAGTTCGGTTTTCTTCTTGAGCTTTCTGAAGTCTTCGTTAGGGTGAGAAAAACGAAAAACGAAATAAAATGCTGTCTTACATAAACAGTACTAGCAGCTGCTACTTACACATAGTGTGCTCCATGAGGGATTCTATTTTTCCACAGTGGGAAACAGTATAAAATTGGAGATCATGAACTGAGCAGACTTAAGCAGGGTCAGTTCACTGAATCGTTATGTAATAAGTTTAGTTTAATGCTAAATGACCAGTACAATGTTGTCATAAATTTAACAAGGGAAAAGAATGCAACAGCAGGAAAAAGACAGTATCGGGAAGTTGCCTGAATAGTACTCTGAAAGCAATATATTCTCCAAATTACAGCAAAGTTCCATTAGGAAGAACCTAATTGGAATTAGCAGCTTTAACTGGAAATCAAACAATGCTTTTTAAGTGCCCATTTAAAACACTGCAATAGAATTCATGCTGACCTAATTTTGGGCTTAGCTATTGCAAGTTATCAATTAACTCCTTCTTAGCTCGGCCACTACATGACGTTAAACACCTCTGGTTAAACTCCATTTGGCATTTTGCCCAAAAATGGCACCAGCTGTTAAGATAACCATAGTTCAACAGAATTTTAAAACATTCTTGACATAACCTAGCAGACCTTCAAAGTGACACAGCAAAAAATATGTGGAAGCATGAACATTTGGTTATTAAAATGTATTTTATGAACATCTGTCATAAATCAGGGATATACAGGAATGTATCCCTTCATGACATTTAGAGACTTATCTTAAAGGTTTAAAGTGTAACAGGGAAGATCACTACTTTCTCTGGAAGAATACAGTTCATTCATTTGTACTGGTCTTTGAGAAATCAATTTAGCCTGGATTTTCTCACCACCTTTTCTCTGCTCTCACCTTGCTTGAAATTCCATCAGGCTTTCCTCAGCTTTATGCAGACTGTCTAGTTCTTTCATCATCTTTGCAACATGTTCCTTAGAGTTTCTGTTTTGTGTGTAAGCAAACCAACAGCCACCAATACCAACAACCATGGAAACCGCAAGAATAAAATCCTTCAACCAATTGTGGCGAGGACCTGGAAAGCATAAAGCAACATTATGGCCGAGGTCAATGAGTCATTTGGCATTTAGAATGCCAGTTCTAAATGAAACAGCTGTAATATTTAATAATTTTGCTGCTTCACTTTCTGCCTTTATACTTAAAGCCATTATATATTTACTTACAGTGCATTAACTTTAATTAAGAAATATTCTTCTAGTCTGATGCTGCTATCAGTCACATTCAAATGCACATAAATACAGAAGACTAATATTACAAGAGGAAACAATGTATGGTAGAGGATTACTACAATACCACCTCCCTGGTCTAATTGTAATGTTTACTACAAGGGAAAACAATCTGGAGTAAAATTACAATGTTAGCCTTGAATATAACTAGAAATAAACTAGAAATAACTGTACAGTTTATAAATGCTAATGTGCATGTAAACAAACATTCAGATTAAAAGTACAAAAAGGCAATTTTCCAATTTTGTGGTTGCTGTGAGAAACAGCAGCCAATAACAGCACATTTTTGTTTATTTGGTTGCAACGTGGCTATCAGGCCAACAATTATTGCTCAAGTAACGAAATGACTGTGGGAAGATGACGGTGGGTGATCTTTTTGAACCACCCTGCATAGAGGTTTGATGCACCTGAGCAATTTAATATTCTTTTCAGAGAACATTTCAGCACCAGCTAAGTCAGAATGGGTGGCAGGTTTTCTTCCTTAAAGAAGGTCATGACAGACCAGAAGGTTTTGTGACATCTTCATGGCAGCTCCTGCATACCAGCTTTTATTTTAAAATGCAGTTTTACAAAAATCAAACTTTTAAGTTATCAAATTGCCAAGGTGAAACCAGAACTCTTTCATGGATTGATCATCTAGGCTTCTAGATTACTTGGCAGTACCAGAACCACAACATTACAGAAACAAAAACAGAAATTGCTGGAAAACCTTAGAAGGTCCGGCAGCATCTGGGGAAAGAAATCAAAGTTAATGTTTCGGGTCCAGTGGCCTTTCCTCAGAACTGATGGTAATTGGGAAAAAGTAGATTTTAATGAGGGGATAGGGTGGGGGAAGGGGTAAGATGTAAATGATAGGTGGATATAGTTGGACAGACAAAGAAATGGATAATGATCTGGCTAGGAGAATGAACTGCTACGCATGGGGACAATGAGTTGGCTAACGGGTTCTGTGTAATAGCAGACCATGTGGTAACAAGGCCTGGTGCGTGAGGGTTGAGGTAAAGACATGGGAGAAGGTGCCTCATGCCCCGAAATTGTTGAACTCAAAATTGAGTCTAGAAGGCTGAAGAGTTCCCAAGTGGAAAACGAAGTGCTGTTCTTCCAGCTTGTGCTGAGCTGCGCTAAAGCACTGCAGCAAGCCCGAGACAGAGAGGCTGACCAGGGAACAGAATGGTAGAGAGATAGTAGGAACTGCAGATGCTGGAGAATCTGAGATAACAAGGTGTAGAGCTGGATGAACACAGCAGGCCAAGCAGCATCAGAGGAGCAAGAAGGCTGACGTTTCGGGCCTAGACCCTTCTTCAGAACCAGGGTCTGGGTCCGAAACATCAGCTTTCCTGCTCCTCTGATGCTGCTTAGCCTGCTGTGTTCATCCAGCTCTACACCTTGTTATAACAGAATGGTACAGTACTCTTAATAACAGAAATTCACGCTCACTGTGTACAATCTTCTGACCAGTTAAAATAGTGGGCTAGATCCACCTGCAGCAACAAGTTTGGCAAAATACATCTTGACTTTAGCTGCCCAGTGCAGTGATCTCACCATTGATGCACTTTCATACTTTTTTCCACTTCCTAATTAGAATACTCTGCAGTAACAATGGCAATCGGAAGTGCCACAGATTTTTCCCTGCAATTCAAAAAATGAACAGGGCACGATCTTAAAGTTGCAAAGCTAGCTGCTGTGCAAAGAAGAAGCACGGTACAAATGAAAAAAACATGACCCTCATCAGGCCAATCCCTCCTCCAGGAAATGGTTTACTTCCCTCCTAGCTGTTTAAAGGGCAGAAATTCCAAATCCCTTGGATGTGCTGAGCTTGTATCCAGCCTGCAATCCTGTTTAACCATGAAAATCATGGTTTCAGTTTTAATCACACTGCTGCGAGGCCTTCAGGGGTATTCCTTTTCTGTCAAAGTGGTAGTGGCGTGAAAGTTGGTGATAATCCAGTACAATTTGCTTTCAGTAGGGGCAGGAGCTATGAAAACTATTTAGCAACTATCTCTAATTAAAATCACGTGCAATTCTTATTGGAATCGTTCATACGATTCCTAGTTGTGCATGGCTCTGCACTACGAACAAAGAATGTGAACAATGAGGTACAACAGGAGCAAGGCTTGAAGGAGTTTCTCCTAAAATGGAGCGTCCTTCCTGCTTTGTTCACAAGAATGATCACTAACTCCGGACAAGTTGGTTAAAACGTTTTAGGCAATCACTTCTGGGTGAATTCTTCAAGCGCCCTGTCACCCAAATTTAATTGCATGCCAGGGGCAAATGCCTTTTGATTTTTCGTTATACCAGAGGACGTGTTACGGCAATAGATTTTCCAAAGTCAGCCATACATTGAGGCTTGCAGTCTAAGCCCAAGGCCAAGTCTGTGGGGGGGAACCCTCAAATTTCCAGAAAGAGTTCATCATCCAATATCCTTTGAGTGAGGTGAGTGAACTTGATTTAGTGACTGAGGTCGCTGGAAATGGATAACATTTGTGTGAAAGATGGAACAACAAATAAACAATGCCACAGGACTATTATCAATTTTCCTGCTAAATATGGCAGGCAAAGGAAGGTACAACCACAGAAAGTCTACTTGGAAAACAGCATACCATTAACAGCAACAACACTTTTTGTTCCAACATTTTATTCAATGCTTTTCAGTATCTGAGCTGAGAATTCAGTACTCCTTAGCTAAAGATTCCAGTGATTGTCAGAAAGTGATTCAGTGAATATGACTGAAAAAAAAAACTATGGCAGCAGAATTAGCAGTATAGCAGTACTGCAATTTATGGCTGAAGATTTATGTTGCCCTGATTGGGCCAAAATCTATTTTATTTTGGCAGTGTGCAATAGCTAGGATTGGACCGGCAAGATCAATCTATCACACAACACAGCCAGAATTGTAATGAACAGTAATCTTACTTGGTTTCATTGTTTTAAACACATCCATCGCCAATTCTCAGCAATTTTTGAAGAAGATCATAATTTTTGGAAGAAAGAATGCAAGTTAGGAGTCCCAACATGCGATGGTCATACTGAAACATTTGCAGATATTTCTGATTTTACACAGCTCTTGCCCATATCTCATATTTTCCTAAAGGTGACTTTCACGTTTGAAATGAAGGCTTAGCAGTTTCCAATTTCTCATATTTGCCTCTCAAACTTACATCTGTCAGATCAGTTACAGATTTAGTTACAGGATACTTGTAACTAAAATAGCATAATAAATTTGTTTAGTATAAAGACATAATTGCACACAGCACTTTATATCAATCACAAGATGTCCAATAACATTACTAATAGAGAAATATTCAAAACTCTGTTTGTTGCAAAAGTACGTTATCCTGATTGTTTAAGAATAAATAAACATTTAGATATCTTTTAGTCAAAAACCTGCAAGCTTTCTGGCTTTTAAATTCACAATGGCCTGTCCGGATGATTTCTGCTCTAATACAAGAAACGCAGTGTAATAGCTCTGCACAATCAGCATATGTTAAGGTTTGGGCTACAATTACTAAATGAGCTCAGTTTTGAGATGCTACGGCAAGACTTGCTCAAGGACAAAATTATTCTTTATATAAATTTTAAAACTATTCAACAATAAGCACGACATATAAAAAATTGATTAAATGGAAATATTGACAATTTCGGCACCAAAAATACAATGTGGAAGGCTCATCATTTTCAGAACAATTTTTTTTTAAACTAAACTGAAGTTCAGAAGAAGAGTCACTGGACCTGAAACTTTAACTCTGCTTTCTCTTCACAGATGCTGACAGACCTGTTGAGTTTTTCCAGCAATTTCGTTTTTGTTTCTGCTTTCCAGCATCTGCAGTTATTGGGTTTTTTGGTATTTATATGTTTACTGTTTAGTTTTTCCCAGCAGGACACAACGCTGCTATTTATATTTGTTTTTCTGATTAATGCAAATGGTTCATAGCTGTGGAGAGTTATGAATTTCAGAATTCTGTTTCTTGTTCAGCTTCATCGTAGATCAAATGCTTAATTCTACACATTAGCAACAATCCTTCACAAGCATAGTCATTTCATAAAAATTGTGCTCTAATCACTTGAAAGCAAATAATGACTATTCTCGACTCAGAATTCAGTATCAAGGCCCAGTACTCTTATCAACTGCTGTGCGGTGCATGCCACTGCAGCTGAGTAATTTGCTCAAAACTACCCAAACTTGTATTTTATTAGGGATTCAACACTGCTGTTTTCACGGCTCATTTTCAAAGATTTTCCGTAAAAAGTCTAGAAGATCTGTAGAATAGAATCCCCGTTTTATCAAGAGGGTCCATGCTCCATGAAAGATGTGTAGCAACAGTGCCACCTAATGGGGAAACAATTATTCTAACAGAACCATATGATGTTCATTTTCAGCCTTTCTCAGGGCTAGCTGCCCTAATGGTTGTGTTATATAATTAAAATTTACTGTACATTAGGCGATCAAGAGCAAGGTAAAACTTAGCAACAGCCAAAGTCTATCAAAAAGACCTCTATTCCATGAATTCTTAAAAATAAGCCTGTCGTGAGGATTCAGCAAACACATCAAATGAACAGCCAAGGCATACGGAACTGGTTCACTGCACTGAGCTGGTTGGCGTCAGCCAATGGGAGCAGTAAGGAATGTCAATTCACCTCAGCTCAGTTGAGTTATAAGGGAGACAGAAACAAACTTCCCACTTCCGGCCATTACGTGTCAATTCACACAAACCTCAACTTGCAGCTTTAGGCTGCTAATCAGTTGCAAAACTAGTGGTTAGAGACGTGGTGGAGGAAGAACGAATCCCTGCTGTGAACATGTATAAAAGCTACATGATACATTTAAAGCAAACAAGCAATCCGAATGGACACTCACGTATTGGAGCTCCAAATAACACAGCATCCAATGCCTTGAGTTGTAGCTTTTGCCTGTGACTCCGGTCAGTGATTTTCAAATTTGAGATCATAAAAGGAATCTCGTTCACCGCCAACCTGTCAACCAAACACAATAAATTTAGACAATGTCACACATACAACAAGAGTGAGATAACAGTAATCTTGCTGTTCCACAAATTATTTTCTGTTCTTAATGTGTCAAGTCTTGCTGGGCTGCGATTCTATTGACATGAACAGCTCACCAAACAAACAGTCACCAAGCTTCATGCTTGACGTGTGCCCTGATGGTGAATTTTTAGAAAGGCTGACCAACTCGAATGCGCCACTGCAAGTCTCTCGAAACACTTCATGATAATGGAGCTCTGACCTCCATTATCATGAAGTGTTTCGAGAGACTGATCATGGTTCACATCAGCTCTAGTCTCCAAGCCCACCGCAATCCCCTATAATTTACCTACCTATGCCATTTCCGTAGCCCTGCACTCATCGCTGGAACATCTAGACAACAATGCTCATTGACTACAGCTCCACCTTCAACACCATTATCCCCTCCAGACTGATCTCAAAATTCCGAGACCTTGGTCTCGGCTCTACCCTCTGCATCTGGATCCTCAGCTTTCTGACCCATAGACCGCAATCAGTGAGGATAGGTAAATGCACCTCCTCCACAAAAACACTCAACACTGGAGCCCCCCCCAAGGATGCATCCTCAGCCCCTTACTGTACTCCCTGTACATCTACAACTGTGTTGCCAAATTCCAAATGAACACAATCTACAAGTTGGTGATAACACCGTGGTAGGACAATATCTAACAATGACGAGTCAGAATACAAAAAGGAAGATACAGGGCTTAGTGACATGGTGTAGTGAGAACAACCGCTTTCTCATCGTTAGTAAAACTAAAAAGAACTGATCGTTAACTTCGGAAAGAAAGGAGGAGAACACACCCCCATCTACATTAACAGAGCTCAGGTGGAGAGGGTGGAGAGCATCAAGTTCCTCGGAGTGACAATAACCAACGACCGGTCCTGGACTTCCCACGTGGATGCAACAGTCAAGAAGGCACAACAATGCCTCTTCTTCCTCAGGCAGCTCAGGAAATTTGGCATGTCCATAAGGTCCCTCACCAACTTCTACAGATGCACCATTGAAAGCATACTGTCCAGGTGCATAATGGCCTGGTATGGCAACTGCTCTGCCCAGGACCATAAGAAACTACAGAAGGGTGTGTGCACAGGCCAGACCATCACAGAAGCCAACCTTCCAAACGTAGCCTCCATTTACATGGCTCATTGCTGTGGAAACCCCGCCAACATCTTCAAAGATCCATCGCACACCAGTAATGCACTCTTACAACATCTTCCGTCAGGCAGAAGATACAGAAGCCTGAACACACGTACCAGCAGGTTCAGGAACAGCTTCTTCCCAGCCATTATCAGACTGATGAATGGGCTCTCTAATGTCAAATAATGCTGATCTTGCTAACATTGATCTTGCCTAGTGCACGCCCTGTGCGACGTAATCTGTATGCCTCTGTCTAAGTTGTTTTTCATCCTATGATCTGCCTGTACTGCTCGTAAACAAAGCTTCTCACTGTACGCAAGTACACATAACAATAAATAAAGATAAATCAAAGACATGCATAAGTCCTCTTTGCTAAACTCTGCCACCAACTGTAACTTACAAGTAGGACATGGCCCACATTGCCGAAGGCTCTGTAAGTTACAAGTTTTATTAACGTTTGAGTCTGGTTTTTAAGCTGTGACTTCACATATTTATAACACGTCACAGATGGTCATTCACTGCAGCATTAGCAATGCAGTTGCCTTTCAGTTTCTCTTATTACAGCCAAATACACAGCTCCAGCACATGGTGACACTAGGTTTGGAAGCCTCTCCATAGTGCAGCGTGCCACTGTCTTCATGCACATTATTTTGCAGCATCTATGTCAAATCTGCCATGTACAGGAACGAAAAAGAATTCAAGGATTCCAGAATCAACATGCAGCATTTGTAACCAGCACCTCCATCAGGCTAATGCCCCATACGTTAGTAGAAGTTATGACACTTTCATTTTGCAGCATTGATTGTGCGAGTGATATTTGAACTAGTGTGACAAACCAAATAATGGTTCCTGGGCCACAAGTGCTATCTACTGATACTGCCACATGAACTGTGATGCAGCAGTCAAAAGGCATGCATGTTGCACCATCTCACCTTCACGAGAGAACAGTTTGTGCCACCTAAATAGAAGGTATATGACAATTTTGCCAGAGAGATGGCAAGAAAACAAGGACCAAGACGAGGAACTGGACCAACAGGAGGGCAAGGAGGAAGAGCAACTTGCATGACCACCTAGACAGCTCCCCTCTGTCTGAGCTCTCTGTTAAGAATTCACCTATTGTGGCAAGAGTAATCTCATCCCATCACAGAAGTTCCATACCTCAGCTTTTCTGTCACTGATCGTCACACTGCTGCACATGGCCACGATGCAAATATATTTGCCAACACAAAAAAAAAATTCAAACCAACTGTCTACATGAAATCATCCCATACTGCATACAACAGTCAACCTGTCACCCGTGTCATCCTTTAGCACCTGTCTTCCACTTTGCCTGTCCTGGTGCTCCAATGCTTTGGTAATCCAGTGGTTATAACATAGCTGATGGAAGACTGCTGACCTTCAGAGGAGGAGTTACAAATGGTATTGGAAGGTAATCTAATGCAATTCTGGGTCTAGGAGGTCAGGTTGCACTTGGTTGGTGCTGGACTCCTCCAAGCTTTGCTACCAACCTGATTTTCCCAGTCCACTTGTGTAGTGAAGTCACCATCATTATTTTAATAGTGTCCTTCTTACAACTATGACTTTCTTCTTTCTCCTGATTTATTTTCTTCCCCACATCCTGACTACTGCTAGGATCCTGTACTTATCTCCTATCAGGGTCTTCTTTCCAGGTTCTTCAGACGCTGCAAGGGGCCAGGAGACCATCCAGGCAGATATTCATAAGCTAGTGTTAGTAGATAGCAGTGAAGGTAACCGCCAAGATTCATATCAACGAACGTATCTTCAAAAGTCCTATCCTTAAAGATTGGTGTGGGAGAAACAGGTTTGAATTCATGGGACATTGGCAGCAGTATTGGGGAAGGAGGGAGCTGTTCCGATGGGAAAGACTCCACTTGAATGAGGCTGGGGCCAGAGTCCTGGTGAATAATGTAATAGGGCTGTGGATAGGGCTTTAAACTAAATAGTGGAGGGGTGGGTTTGGTTGCATGGAAAAGTATGGAAGAAGTTAAGAGGGGCAGGGCTCAGCAGAGGTTATTAAAGATTCCAGAACAAGTAACAGGACAGAGAGAACAGAAGGTCAGGAATCTAACTTCAGGCACAGCAGATAAAGGGACAGTTACAAGAAGGGGGAAGATTCAACACAGCACTAAGGGTGTTGTACTTAAAAGCACGCAGTATACAAAACAAGGTAAATATGCAGGAACAATTTGTGGGTATCACAGAGACTTAGCTGCAAGTCTGGGAACTAAATATCCAAGGATATGAATCCTATTGAAAGGACAGGCAGATGGGCAGAGGGGATGGGATTGCCTCATTAGTAAGAAATGAAATTATATTGATAGCAAGAAATGATATAGTCGGAAGGCGCAAACCTGTGTGAGTTGAGTTGAGGAACTGCAAAGGAAAGAAGACCCTGATGCGAGATAAGTACAGGATCCTAGCAATAGTCAGGATGTGGGGAAGAAAATAAATCAGGAGATAGAAAACACATGTAAGAAAGACACTATTAAAATAATGATGGTGACTTCAATATGCAGGTGGACTGGGAAAACCAGGTTGGCAGCAAATCTCAAGAAAAGGAATTTGTGGAATGTCTATGAGATGGTTTTTTCGAGCACCTTGTGGTAGAGCCCACTAGCGAACACACAATTCTGGATCTGGCGATGCATAACAAGGCAGATTTGATTAGGGAGCTGAAGGTAAAGGAACCCCTGGGGGCAGTGACCATAATAATGATAGAATTCACCCAGCATGAGGGAGGAGGTGGCCACAGTTGGTTGGAAAGGGAGACTAGCAGGGAAGATGGTGTAGCAGCAATTGCAGGAGTTTCTGGGGATAATTTGGGAAGCACAGCAGAAATTCATCCCAACAAAGAAGAAACAGACTGAGGGGAGGACAAGGCCACCGTGGCTGACAAGTCAGGGACAACATAAAAGCAAAAGAAAAAGTATACAATATAGTGAAGATTAGTGGGAAGCCAGAGGATTAGGAAGCCTTTAAATGTCAGCACAGCATAACTAAAAAGCAAGAAGGGTGGAGAAGATGAAAAATGATGGTAAGCTAGCTAGTAATAGAAAAGAAGATTGCAAGAATATTTTTCTATGTGTAAAAGACAACAGGGAGCCAAGAGAGGACACTGGAAAATGAGACTGGAGAAGTAGTATTTAGAAGCAGTTAGCGGGAGGTGATGGCCTTGTGGTATTATTGCCGAACTGTTAATCCAGTGACTCAGATAATGTTCAGGGGTTCCAGGTTCGAATCCTGCCACGGCAGATGGTGGAATTTGAATTCAATTAAAAAGAAATCTGTAATTAAGAGTCTAATGACGATCATTGTCAATTGTCGGAAAAACCCATCTGGTTCACTAATGCCCTTTATGGAAGGAAACTGCCCATTAGTATGTTTCCTCTTCCTGAAGATGGATTTCTGCTGCACTTCAGGAATTACCCCAGAAACTCCTGCCATCGTTGCTGTACTGCCATCCTTACCTGGTCTTGTCTACATGTGGTTGACTCACTTACGGATAGGCAGTAAATGTTGCCTAGCCAGCAATGCCCTCATCCTGTGAATGAACAAAAAGGAAAATGGGGACTGGAGTCATAGCCAATGTAACAACTCTGTTTAAGAA